AGATGTGTATAATAGCGCCATCTACGACTCATTATAATTGCCGTATCCTAACATTTACATTTCTATTGAGGTTTAGAACGAAAATTATTCACTGCTGCACTGAATTTTAATTTTAACCAGCATGCAGATAATTGTGTCAACGTTATTCCTATTACTGATACATCATGGCACATCGATATACGTTGGGGATTGGGAAACAGGTATTTAAGCATCGTTTAGGCTTGTATTGTAGGCTAGTCCATTATATGGTTGTTTTATTGTAGTCACCTCAAAATAGAAACGCATATGCTATTGTAAGTCTAATGCTGCACTATGGTAGCCTTCCCTGTAGAGAATGAGGTTATGTGCTAATAAGACAACAAGCATTCCAAAATTAGTTGAAGGAATAACTAACATAGACTTATTGGCTTACTTGAATCATTGTTGAGTTGCCGATACACTATCACCCTCGTCATATAACATTTGATCATGTATATTATGCATATAAAAGAATAATTTCTCCCCTAATTATAGAGTATTACGTTGGATTAATTACCCTCAAGTTAATAATAAAATTAAGAAAAAAGAAAACATTAACATCATTGTCTTCAAAGTATTATTTTTGTACGCAATTCATAAAATATTTGACTATAGAACTATGATTATTCATAATAATAATAATTATAATACTGATAAGTCTTAGATGTCCCTACTTCTAAACTAAAATATAAAAGTAAAAAAGAATATAAAAGGCAGAGTAACAGTAAGCAAAAATATTAGTATATAATGTTATTAATATACACATCGAATAGGCCTACGACAAATATAATCATAATGTTATGCTTGTATATCGATTAAGACGTGCTAACAATCAAACGTTGGCACGTCGCACAGCAACGTATGAATGCGGACGCTCATCCATGAACGATCGAAAATGTTATTATAAATGCAAATTATAACAATATAGACAATACCTGATTATTAAACAGATTCTTAAGATCTCTTAATTGATATACACTTGCGTGTGAAGGGCAGTGGCACCCGATCACCACCCGAGGCAGCCACCAACAATCACTGACCAAGAGTGTAGTGTAAACTCATTGAGTATTAAATTAAAATACATGGAACTTCGAAGTTTTTATTAGAATTAAGCAGGGTACTCACTGCGTAGGACGGTCGTCGGCCGACTCGATATTTGCGGGCTTTCGAAATGGGCGACGCGGGGAGCTGCAACGGGGAATTCAGTCAACCATGAACGTCGTACTATGCACTTCCCGTCTCAACATCAAAGCTGTTTCGATTTACAGGACGACGCGCTCCCTCGTATCGCGTGATCAATTATGCAGGCGCCCCTACCCCCACCCTACCCTACCCCAGCGAGCGCTTATTTATATAACTCGCGTTGCCGTAGTCAACACAACGCCAAATCGCTTAAAGCCCGTTGTCATGTCGGATCCACACATAACGAACGACTTCCCCATGTATTCGCATGCGCAGTACGGTTTCACGCTCCACCACCAACAATCAGCAGACGGCGTCGCGTCGTCTAGCACTTACATGGAGTGGAGTTGGATTGTCGTGCAACGGTCCTACGACCGTCGTACGACGCAGTGAGTAGGCCGACACAGCGTTATAGCCCCTAGACCACATAATATGTAAGGAACACCCATTAAGAACATAATTTCCTTCCCTTCGAACATTAGGCCCTAACCTTTCCCAATTCACGATTTTTGCTACGATAAAGCACGATTTTTCAATTTCGAAAAATCGCAATGGCGTCGTCGTAAATGTCATGGTCAAAAATAAGGTGTCAGATTTCCCCGAAGGCGGGGGGGGGGATGACAAAAACGGAGTGGGCGTGGTCGAGCTTCGATTAAAAGGTTCCAAAAGTGGTCCTGTGGGAGAAGCCCCCGAAAATTTCGACAATTCAGGGGTTTCAAAGGCTTATTTAATCGATTTTAGAGTCTAATAATACTGTCTCTTATACACATCTAGATGTGTATAAGAGACAGGGCTTGTATTGTAGGCTAGTCCATTATATGGTTGTTTTATTGTAGTCACCTCAAAATAGAAACGCATATGCTATTGTAAGTCTAATGCTGCACTATGGTAGCCTTCCCTGTAGAGAATGAGGTTATGTGCCGTCGCGTCGTCCAACACTTACATGGAGTGGAGTTGGATTGTCGTGCAACGGTCCTACGACCGTCGTACGACGCAGTGAGTAGGCCTACACAGCGTTATAGCCCCTAGACCGCATAATATGTAAGAAACACCCTAATTAAGAACATAATTTCCTTCCCTTCGAACATTAGGCCCTAACCTTTCCCACATTCACGATTTTTACTACGATAGAGCACGATTTTTCAATTTAGAAAAATCGCAATGGCGTCGTCTTAAATGTCGTGGTCAAAAATAATTCATCGTATTGCATCGCACTGGATCTTGATGTCATCGTGATGGAGCACGATTTTTTTGGAATGTTAAAAAAATCGTGCTCAATCGTAGCCGTGAAAAAGATCTTGGTCTACCACAGCGGCATCGAGTGAGTGGCATAATGTCGTCGTTTGTCGTGACTGTGTCTTGTCCATTCGTACTACCAACAACACCTACGACAAGCCAAGACGTCGCTGCTGTGCTGAGACGATTAGATACGATGCCACCAGGATACCATCAAGACCGTGGTTTATATCACGTGGCTCTGTGTCAGAAAAGTGTTTCAACACACTGGACAATTCCTTGCTCACTTGGAGGAAGTTTCTGAAGCCTCTTGGGTCTTCTCTATTTAACTCTACTAGTAAGTGTTCATACTGTTTAAAATATGGACGACGTAAGAGCCATGGCTGTACCCATACACTTCGTTTAGGCCTATGCATTCGACGTGACCGACGTTTACTCTTGATTATCAAAACTGTAGCAGCTAACAAATTTTCTTCTTCTATAGCAGCAGCTTACAAATATTGATGGTGTTTGAACAGTGCGATTTTTTGTCATGTCATGTGATGTTTGTTTTTGTGATGTAGTATGTGCGTCTTGTTAAATCGTGCTAACGCCGTGCTTGCGTCTTTGTAAAATCGTAGTGACGTTGAATTAAAATTTTGGCAATTCGTAGTACGTCGTCCCAAATCGTAACTCTATCGTTATAATTCGTAAAAATGTCGTCGCACTATCGCATTAAGGCCGTAATACATCTTAACGGCGTACTAGTAGCGTCTTGATGAAACGTAAAACTTGAACTTTTTGAGTACGAATTACTACGATAGAGCGCGAATTTTAATTTTTTTTTAATCGTGCTCCATCGTAGCAAAAATCGTGAATGTGGGAAAGGGGCATTACTGCACGCGCGCCACCTCGGCGGAAAAATCCTGGATCCGCGACAGAAGGGTGAATTACATGCACAAGTCACCTGAGCACATAATCTCACATATCAAGTAAAAACCAGGGGTGGCGCCATGATTTGCCCGACGGGGAATAGAATTAAATCAATTACCAACAACCAAAGACATACACCAAAGATCAGGGGTGGTGCCAGGATTTGCCCGACGGGGGCGCGGGGGCGAGGTCTCCGACTGAGGGGCGATGCCCCGACAAGGGGTCAGATTTCCCCGACGAAAGCAAATTGGGCGTGGTCGAGCTTCGATTAAAAGGTTCCAAAAGTGGTCCTGGGGGAGAAGCCCCCGAAAATTTCGACAATTTAGGGGTTTCAAAGGCTTATTTAATCGATTTTAGAGTCTAATAATATGTAAAAAATATATATCATATTTTTTCTCCCAGACGAATTATGCTTTTTCTCCGAAGGGGGGGGGGGCAGCTCTCCCCGACGGGGGGGTGCCCCCTGCCCCCGCTGGCGCCACCCCTGGTAAAAACGAAGTTAAGTTTACGACCTCTAACCTACATTCCAACAGTAATTCACTAATACTATTTGTCCTTATATGCTTATTTGTGTCACTAAGTTTTTAGCTTCCACGTTCTTTGAATCGTAATTTTATTTCTTGAGGGGTTTGCTACAGACACTACCATAAGTTCGATAGTGAAACAAACTTTTAAGATTGTGATGCAAGCCATTGTGATTTTGGACTGTATATTTTTTCTTCGGAATGAACTCATTACTTTCATTTTATGTAATGTTATGTATAACACTTAAAATTAATGAGTAATGAAATGTTATGTAATAATCTTGTAGGTTCTCCCCGGCGGCGCTCTACGCGGGCATTGGACCAGTTTAAGTCGATGGTGAGATGTACAACACCACATCGCCACGTTTTAGAAGCATATAACGGTTACGGTTGTTGGTGCGGGTTCGGCGGAGGTGGAAACCCAGTCGACGAAACCGACAGGTGAGTCCAAGCAATGACAATGCGGATTATGTCTAAGGAACAATTTTCAACGCATCTCGTACTCCTACATTCAGACTGACATATAATCAGTTTTATTAGTTTTTTTTTATTGTTTGTCGACTGGTAAAATATCGAGCTATTTTTAACCTGGTCTGTTGTTTATCATGCTTTTAAGTCAACAGGTGGACATAATGTATGCTATCGCTAAATAATTTTTTGTAACATGATACCTGAATACATCTGCCTATGCCTACGATATTATATATACGTGTGTGTGTGTGTGTGTGTGTGTGTGTGTGTGTGTGTGTGTGTGGGTGTGTGTGTGGGTGTTTGAGCCTAAAGTTGTACGGGAGAGTGACTAGTGAGTAGATTCGTAACAATATCGTAGGGACCGAGCTAGCGAGAGATTGCGGGTTCGAGTCCCGGAATCACTTTTTTTTATATTTATATACGAGGTACGGTATGTTGTGGCAAAATTGAAATTCAAGTTATTGGTATTTTCAGATACCTGATTATGTGATCTTTAAAATGAGGGGTCAGTCATTGAAATTGCACATTTTAAGCCTAAGTTACTGGAAAGTGAAAGTACAGCACTCTTAGAGTCAAGATAAACATGGATTTGAGTAATTGCCTTCCAAAGTTATTACCGGTAGTGGATACCTTGTTCAATAGAATTAACTATCAAAATAACATTAAATTAACAATTTGTTGACCACTTCCAGAACTAATACTTTGGGATATGATTAATAAGACATTAAACTGTTGACCTATAGTGAAAAACAAAATTGGATTTTTAGTCATTTTTTTAGCTCCCAAATTTACTCATTTACTGAATACTGGCCTGTGCGACAACTTAACCATTTTGCCACAACATGCCTCATGAACATTCGTTGATAAACTATGTTTGATAACATCAAGTTTTCTAAATATTTGAGAATTTGTTTTCAGTAAATCATCTTATTGTGTCATGATAATTTTTGCGTTTCTTTATATTCATCTCTAGGTGTTGTATGAACCATGATCAGTGTTATTCTGAAGCGATAAAAAAACACGTATGCTCCAATACTGATGTCTACATTGCACGATATGAATTTGCTACGACTGAGTGCCGATCAGATGCTGCAAGCATAACCTGCAGTAATTAACACATTTTTATTACTAACTATAAGATGAAAATAGTGTTTACTGGGTCCACTTATTGCTAACTAGGGCGGTTTAATTCAGTTCAGAGCTAAAAAATGTTGTTGCTGTGCAACTGTTGTTTGCTGCTGCCGCGGTATACAGCGATATAGGGGTGTTTTCCCAATTCATATTCTATTTGAATTGAGTGAGCTTAATTTTCCTTATCTCTCTTTTTTCCCATTAATTTAGTAGTGTATAGAATAAATAAATTGTGATAATATATATTATATATATA